ATAAGGATCTTCAGAAAGGGAAATTGCGTTGACTCTTAAGCCTGTTGCGGCATCACTTACGCACATGAGGTCCAAAAGCCTATTTCGATTTTTTTTAACAGAGTTGATTTGAGCGAGGGACATGTCTGTAATCTCATCAATAAAATCATGACAAATGGCAATAGAAAAAGATTAGAGTCATCACAGGGAATCCAATAAATATGTGGGCGGTTGAAGTCATCGATTACTATTATTTAGTCTGCATGACCTAAGGAAGACAGGACATACGTACTGGCAGATAGGTTGCTTAAATATTCTATGGAATCAGACGTTGGAGGTATATATGAGCGGGTCAAAAAGATGAAAGCTGAACCTATGCTACATTTTACTGCAACGAATTCAATACCAGCATCGTTAGCAATACGAAACAACTCGCAGGAGAAATGGTTATATACCGCTATAAGGACCCTACCAGCAAAATAAGGAGGATCCGTTCTATAAATAGAGAACTTATGAAAAAAGATTTCGTTGTCAGAAACTAATGAATTAAACCAGGTACCGGTCAAAGCGATGGCATCAAAGTCAAATGACGTGCTTAAGTGTGAATTTCTTTGAGTTTACCCAAAAGACTGCGTACGTTTTGATAATTAATGGTAAAAAAGCAACCTAGTTTTTATACCCGTTACTCGAAGAGTAAAAGGGTATACTAGATTCGTCGGAAAGTATGTAGCAGGAAGAAGGAAGCGTGTCCGACCCCATAAACTATATACATTCTTGATCAGGATCACTAGCCGAGTCGATCTAGCTATGTCCGTCTGTCTGTCCGTCTGGACGAACGATGAGATCTCGGAAACTATAAAGGCTAGGCTATTGGAATTTGGCATGCAGATTCCTGAGCTTCTTACACAGCGCAACTTTGTTTCAGCAAACGCCCACAAGCCGCCCAAAACTGTTGCTCCTACATTTTTGATTATAGAATAAAAATTTTAACTGAAATTTATTGCTCTTATCAATACCTACCGATTGACCCAAAAAAAGTTTGCCACGCCCGCTTTAACGCCCACAAACCGTTCAAAAACTTCAAAAAATCGTGCATATGAACGCGGATATCTCGGAAACAAAAAAAGATAGAGATAACGCCCATATTGCTTAAATCTGTCTACCGCCACGTAGCCATATATTGAGGTCGGGCAGGTGGCGTATTTCATTCTAGCTTTGTTGCTTGCTTATCTCCATTTCCCTTGGGTCCCTTTAGCGGAGTAACGGGTATCTGATAGTCGAGGTACTCGACCATAGCGTCCTTTTTTGTTTGACCTAATTTGTGTAGGCCAAATTCGAATAACACATAATTTACCAATCCTCCAGAAGATTACACTTGGTTGGGTGGCTTGGGATGGACACTCTGTCGTTCGCAATGGACATTAATCTCTCGCAACCCTTCGTAAAGTCCCTTATGTTGAGGAAGACTCCTTAGCAGAGACGGTTAAAAGATTCTGGGAAATCGACAATCCCTGCGGAGAATCTTACACAATATCCGCTGATAACGAATTGTGCGAGCAGCATTTCCTACAGGGCTACTCTAGACTTAAGTCAGGTCAGTACTCAGTTAGGCTGCCGTTTAAATTCAGCATTGATACGTTAGAAGACTCCATATGTCAAGGGTTTCCAAGCATCACACAATTCTATTTGCCGCGTCATTGCGTGGAGAAATTGGACAGTTAAATTGGGCTAGCTGCTAGTTGAGATAGTGGAGTTATGAGTTGCATTGATAACTGATTTGTTCTTCATTTAATACATGCTTCTATACTACTTGGAACACGGAAGTTTAATTTAATTGTTTGAGAAATAAGCTATATTCTAAGGTAGGTAGGTAGGTCAGGGAGTTTTGATTATGGTAGCAGTTTGCGTAGTTGGCTCGGCTAGCATTGCAAATGTGCTGACTGCATTGGCGGGTCAGTGTACCGTTGAGACGGTAAGACGGTGAGTTAGTGAGACAATTCTCATCTGCAGTGGGTGCTACTGAGCGCCTGGTACTGTTTTCAACTTGGCTCCAGCTTGATTTGTTGAGTGCTGGTCATGTTGAGCACCCTTGGGTATGACATTCTCCCCCCATTGTGGGGTACCCTCAATTATGCCGTGATATCGGTCAGCCCTTGGCCGAATTATATAGAAAGCACCTAACAAATCACTGACCGTGGAGGATCCTTCCTTCAGCTGCGGAGGTTCATGTTTGTGATCAAGGTCCTTCATACCTTCTTTATGCTGCTTAACACTCCCTTTTGCGATAAAATTGGCATTACCGTGGGGACTAAAATTGTGCCCTCGTAGAACTTGATCTTTTGGCACGTCTATGGTATGTGGACTTTCTTAACATAACTTAGATATTTCTTGGTTAAATTTAGAAATGTTGAACAAAAGTCAGGCTTCTTGTAGGTTTTAAGTTGATGAAAAGTTGGTTCTGAATTAATTGGTTTTTCTATTGTAGTCAGCTGCAATGAACTATTATGTATAGCGGTTGATTCTCGATCGATCAGTGTCGCTAGTTCTTGATTGGCTACATATATCTTCAGGCTCCTTTATTTTATGATCCATCAATGCTAAGTTCGTTAAATTAATCCCTTCTTCATAGAGTGAAATCTTATTCTGCCGTTTGCAATTCAAATTGATTATCATTCATCGGATTTTTATTTTTCGTTAGCTCATAATTGCTAATAATTTTTGCTATGGCGGCGAATACTAGTATTTTTCCGTTCTGGTACCTGGCCTTCAATCGCAACCAGGTGTCGTCATAGCCACCCTGTGATAAGGTTGAGATGAGAGGTCATGGAACCGTGGCCAGTCTAGATACTCGCCGTTGAACTCCGGAATGTTAATTGGCTCATTTTGGTTCATTTTGTATTCTTTGTATAATGTGTGGAATCGGGCTAGCTCTGCTTCTGCCAGAGAAGCGGCCCCAGGTGTGCTATCCAATTCGTCGTGGGCTTGCCTCAGTAACGCCCAATGGATATCCAGGTGCCCTCGTAGGGCTGGGGTGACGGTTGGGGCGTTGGAGGCTAAAGTTAATGATGATTCCAATTCGTTGCATCTGCAACTGTGGGATCACCGTGTCAATTGTGGAGTCTCCTTTGACTTGATCCCCTGTTGTGATTTTGATGTTGACCGAAGTTCGTCTGGGGCATTCGGAAGTCCTCTTCCAGTCGGCATGTTGTCCAGAAAGATTTTCTGATGCTTTTCGACCAGCTCCTTAAGTGCTACTACTCGTGAAGAGTACTCATTTCAAGTGGAAAATGCCGCTTGTTGGACTTCTTCATCTAGGTCGCAAAACTGCTGCCAGAGATCGTTTAGCTGATTTAGCTTACCGGAATAATAGCCGTCTCGGTGGTGTCGTTTGACCGAATCCTTGCCATAATTCTTTATGAGCTGTGGGATCTGTACTTATAGCTCATTTTGGTTGCCTAGTAATCGATTGTGTAAATCGATTCTCGTGTGACTTGTTTCCTATATGAATGAAGTAGGCTTGTCTAGGAAACAAAGAATCCTGTGAAGCCGGATAAAGCTGTGTGTCCTGTGAAGCTGAATGAAGCTGAGTATCCTGTCAAGCTGGATGAACCAAATATCCTATGAAGATGGATGCAGCTGAGTATCCTGTGAAGCTGGATGAAGCTGAGTATCCTGTGAAGCTAGATGAAGCTGACGATTCTGTGACGCTGTATCAAGAAGCTTATCCTGTGAAGCTGGATGAAGCTGAGTATCCTGTCAAGCTGGATCAAGAAGGGTATCCTGTGAAGCTGGATTAAGCTGGATTAAGCTGAGAAGCTGGATGAGTTATGGTTTACAGAGCGGGTGGATGTAGTCAGAGGTTCCGCTTTTGGTGGGAAGGGGGTTGCTGGAGTGTGATCCTTTGTTGGTAAAGGATCACGTCGGGGTCACCAATGTTTGTGCCTAACCGATGTAGATACTTGCAGGACGATCGCGTCGCGGCAAGGGTAACGATGGTTACCACAGGCGATGCTGAGCTGCGCTGAGGATAAGCTCACGTGGTTAGCTGCTAGTTGAGATAGTGTTTTACGAGCCCTATTCCCAGAGGTAGGAAGTAGGACCGCGAAGTTATGCGTTTCGTTGATAACTGATTTATTCTTCATTTGATACAAGCTTATTTACAGAAACAGAAGTTAAGTGTAATGATTACTAAAATAAGCTATATTCTAAAGTAGGTAGGTAGGTCAGGGAGTTATGATTGTGGTAGCAGTTTTGTGTAGTTGGCGTGGCTGACACTGCTAAATGTGCTGACTGCATTGACGGATCAGTGTACCGTTGTGACGGTGAGTTAGTGAGACATATAATATGCTGATCAGCAATTCTTATCTGCAGTGGGTGCTACTGAGCGCCTGGTACTGTTTTCAACTTGGTTACTGCTTGGTTTGTTGGGTGCTGGTCATGTTGAGCACCCTTGGGTAAGGACAGTTTATATGAACGCGGATATTACGGAAACTATCAAAGATAGAGAGCTGGGACTTAAGTTTTTATTCCGTAGCCTTGCACGCAGCGCAAGTTTGTTACGCGAATGTGCCACGCCTGCTCTAACGCCACAAACCTGTGGCACCCACAATATTCATGCTACATAAAAAATTGTAACTGAAATGTATTAGTCTCGTCAATATCTACCTAGATTCCGTAGCCTTGTATGCAGCCTAAGTTTGTTACGTGAATATGCCACGCCCGCCCTAACGTCACAAACCTTGGCAACCACAATTTTCATGCTACATAAAAAATTTTAACTGAAATGTATTAGTCTCGTTAATACCTATCGACTGGTCTAAAAGCGAAGCTCACTCCAACTGCCACAAACCGCCCACACCAGTGGCGACTACAATTTTCCTGCTAGAAAAATATTTATCTGACATGTGTAGTCAATACCTATCGACTGACCCAAAAACAAATTTTGCCACGCCCACTCTCACGCCCATAACGCTTAAATCTGTCTACCGCCCACATAACAAGGTGGGGCATTTCAATCTCGGTTTGCTGCTTGCATATCTCCATTTCCCTTTGGTCAATTTCTTCAGTGTATCATATGGCGTGATAATCCAGAAGAAGAAATAAGGACATACACACTGGATACCGTAACGTACGGAACCAAGTCTGCTGCGTTTTTAGCTATTCGAGCAGAGCAGCAGTTGGCACTCGATGAGGAAACAAACATCATATTGACTGCGAAAATCGTTCGACAGGATTTGTATGTAGACGACTAAATTTAAGGAGGAGGCTTCGTGGAGGACGAGGTCCAAATCCTTCAACATGTAAAACAACTATTGGCAAAGGGTAATTTTCCAATTCGAAAGTGGTGCTCAAACGAGCCTGCCGCATTAGAAGGAGAAAGCGATTCTGATTGTGAAAAGTTTATATAATGTATGGTTGGCACCAACATCGCCAAGGCTCTCGGTTTAGCCTGGGAGCCTAGCTCCATACACAAATTATCCGATAGATTCATCACAAAACGAAGTACGTTGTTAATGATAGCCAGGTTCTACGACCCACTCGGATTAACCTCACCTTTCGTTACTAAACTGAAAATATTTCTTCAGGCTTTAAGGAAGGAAAATCGAAATCCTGCGTGTATCGCGGACAACCCCAAAGCTCGAGCTCTCAGCAGCGTTTATATTATCCGATCGTATGTCAAACATCGCTAAAGAAATTAAGTTTGCTGCATCTCTTGCTAAAAATCATACACATTGTGCATTTCGGCGAGGAGTACAAGGCGCTTAGTATAAGAAAGGCGATGTCTCCTAGTAGTAAGCTGCGGTCTTTATGCCCATTTATGGACGCCGAACGACTTCTGCGCGTCGGAGTTCGTATCCAGATTTGAAACCTAGATTTTGCTGCCAGTCATCTAGTCACCGATCCAATATTCACGCATTACCATACGACATTTCTCCATGCTGGTCCTCTATTCCTCTTTCCAACGGTTTGTCAAAGATATTGGCTCATCGGAGGGCTTAAAGCTGTCTCGAGTATCATCAATAAATGCATCCGCTGCGTTTGAATGCGGCCCAAACTTCTCGCCGAGAGCGTCCAAACAAGCCCAACATTTTGTGACTTGTCTTTTGTGGTGCATTCTACACAAAATCGGATGTAAGGAACCGCGCGCCAGGAAAGTGCTACGTTTCAATTTACATATGTTTTCATCATCATTTTTCACAGCACAGTGGGTGCTCAGAACGAGCTAAAGGAACTTCGCGAGATATTTTTGATTGATCCACAGAGAAGGAGGTTGCTGTGAAGTCACCCAAATACCATTTCTATTGCGTCGTTGGGAACTCTACTCTTTCATTTAACGAGCTTCGAACCCTCATCTTTCAAGTCTCAGCAATGCTCAATTCAAGATTATTTTATCTGGGGAAAGGCAAAAGCAACGATCGACGAACCCCATTTAACCCACCTATACGCAGGTCACCCCAATCGCTGACAAAAGTTGTGCCAAGTCCAGAAAGCGTTCTGAAGGAAGTGGAGTTCATATTACTTGTCCCTGCTTTAAGAGCGTGGGAAGTGACGGACGACCCAAACAAATCTGTAACCAGGAACTATGGTCGTGATAGAAGAGAACAATGCACCGCTGCTCAAATGGCCCCTTGGCAGAGTAAAGAGCTGTAGCAAGCAGACACACACACACACATACATATCCCTAAGCATCTGTTCTACATTAAGTTAGGTCACACTATTATTAAACACATACATACATCCCTGTTACTCTTAAGAAACACTATGCTTGTCTCACTCCCTCATACTGTGTACCCCCAACTCTTGTAACATAGGCTAAGCCTGTACAAATCTGTGCAATAAAGATCACTTTTGCTGCGACCGCCTAAGAAGAAACACGTAGAAAGTGCCGTCTACAATTTCAGAAGTGCGATTTCCGCGAAAATTTTTTTCTTGCGTCCCTAACTCTACGAGTAAAATAAAGCAAAAGTTTTTAGTGAGTTATTTAAAATAGTTTGTAGTAATGGACACCATCGCTGCGGACGACTACAAAGCATCAGAACTTCGATGTTGGCTGGAAAAACTTGTTTTGCCGAAAAGCGGCACCAAGGCAACACTAGCAGCGCGGTTGAATGGTGTGCCCCCCGAAGCCCGAGGAGATTGTCCAGAACTGGACCCCAAGGACATGACCGACATGGAAGCTGGGCCTGATCAGGACGATGTTGGGGCTACATTGCTGGATGCCCAAAATAACGACGAAGCCGCCAACAACAACATGTGCGTTCCGGAAATTTCCATGCAATTGGAATCTCTGAAGCGTCACTTAGAAGTGGTCCAATTGGAAAATGAGTTTCTCAAGTTGGAAGTTTCCCTACGTACTTCAACGACAAGACCCTGTTGGCTGCACACATCCGGATAGACGACGAGGAGTTAATCGAAAGTATTATCGAAGGAATACCGGATACACTTCTACGGCAACAGGCACACATGCACTGTTTTAATTCGTCTGCCCAGCTGTTGCAGGCATTCTCCAAAGTAACATTGCGGAAACCATCTCTCGCATTTGGACGCCACAAAGTCGTTTCCGGAAATCAGGACGGACCCGCTGTAAGATGCTTCAACTGTAACTGCGTGGGTCACTTCGCGGCCGACTGCCGCAAGCCTAAGCGCGCATACGGCGCTTGCAACAGTTGTGGAAGTTTGGAGCACCTGGTATCTCATTGCAACGAGAAAAACATAACCAAAAATGAATATGTGAGACCGTTTAAAATTTACTTTAATTCACAGCCTAATCAGTGCCTACTTACAGAATGCCTAATCGATTCTGGAAGTCCAATTACAATAGTTTTACGAAGTTATCCTGCGTTGAAAACATTCTAAGTAGTAACATCATTAACGTTAATGAAAACAACATTTCGCATTACTTTGGCTTGAACCACAGCCCTTTAGATATACATGGAAAGATATCATGTTTTGTTATTATGAATAAAGTAAAGTTTAATTTCGAATTACTAATTGTGGCAAACAAATCGATGGCATATAGCACTGTCTTAGGAAGAGATTTTATGAACATCTGTAACTTTAAGATTGTTAGGGAAAATGATTGTTCAAATGATAGTTTTGCAAATGATTTTGCAAATGATTGTTCAAATGATAGTTGTGCTGATGATTGTTCAAATGATAGTTGTGCTGATGATCGTTCAAATGATAGTTGTGCTGATGATCGTTCAAATGATAGTTGTGTTGATGATCGTTTACAGGATATTTGTTCAAAAGATAGTTGTATTGCAAATGATCGCTCAGATGATAGTAATAGTGAGAAGAATAGCAGTTTTAGAATTTATTGCTCAAATGTTGGTCAGATTGGAAACGATTGTGCTACTGATAGCTGTGAGAAAGATGATCGTCTAAATGATAGTACTAAGGTTTATTGTGGTTACAAAGAAACGCAAAGTGATTCGTGTAAAATGATTGAGTCAAGTCAAAATTTAAGTGTCCAGCCAAGCGATCATTTCGAGTCAGAAATTATGTCAATTGAATACCCTGATCCAGCCGAATGCAACCTGTTAAATATTAGCGATAAGTGTGAGTTTGCGTTAAGAAAAAAACTGATAGATATTTTTGATAAGTTTTATACGAAACCGGAACGGCCGGAGATCCCCTTAGTAAAATGGGAAATGAAACTGAATCTTGATACAACTAAACCGTTCAATTACCCTCCAAGGCGTCTATCATACGCAGAGAAAAGTCAAGTTCAAAATGTATTAGACGATTACATAAAAAACGGTATTATTCGAGTAAGCGAGTCTGAGTATGCATCACCTATAGTTCTAGTAAAGAAAAAGTCTGGAGAGTTAAGAATGTGCGTAGATTACCGAACCCTTAACAAAAACATGCTTAAAGATAACTACCCTACCCCTTTAATAGATGACCTTATTGATAAACTGTCTGAAAAAACTATTTTTACCAAGTTACCCTTAAAAATGGGTTCTTTCACGTGCACATGCATGAGGATTCAATTAAGTATACCGCTTTTACAACACCTATGGGTCAGTATGAATGGCTTAGAATGCCGTTGGGGTTACGAAACGCACCAGCAGTTTTTCAAAGATTTGTGAACAAAATCTTTGCCGATTTGGTTAAAGAAGATAAGGTTCTAATTTATATGGATGACATTTTAATAGCAACGAAAGATAGTAAGAGCCACATGGAGATATTAACGGAGGTCTTTAAACGATTGGTAAATAACAAGCTTGAGCTTAGGTTAGACAAGTGTGAGTTTCTTCAAAGAGAAATAAAGTATTTAGGATACATAATATCGGGAGAGGGTATTAAACCTGATTCGAAAGGTATGCAAGCAGTAAAAGACTTTCCTATACCGACAAAAACGCATGAGGTTCAAAGTTTTCTTGGACTGTGCTCCTATTTCAGACGCTTTGTCAAAGATTTTTCAACAAAAGCACAGCCGTTGTATGATCTTGTAAGAAAAGACAGAAAGTTCGAATTTGGTGCGAAAGAGTTAGAGTGTTTTGAAATATTAAAAGTAAACCTTTTGGAAGCCCCTATTCTGGCCCTGTACAATCCAAAAGACCCAAAAGAGTTACATTGTGATGCTAGCGCCCTAGGTTTTGGTTCAATTTTAATGCAGAAAAAGAAAGGTAGTAAGTTTCACCCAGTGTTCTATTTTTCTAAACGCACGGCGGATGTGGAGGCGAAGTACCATAGTTTCGAATTAGAAACGCTCGCTGTAGTTTACTCGTTACAACGCTTTAGAATCTATCTTCAAGGAATACAGTTCAAACAAGGAAGAACGCTATAGTCGAGTACCTCGACTATCAGATACCCGTTACTCAGCTATATGGAGATATGCAAGCAGCAAAGCGAGATTAAAATGCGCCACCTACCGGCGGTATACAGATTTAAGCGTTATGGGCGTTAGAGTGGGCGTGGCAAATTTTTTTTGGATCAATCGATAGGTATCGACGAGACCAATACATTTCAGTTAAAATTTTTTATCTAGCATGAAAATTGTGGGCGTCACAGGTTTTCGCGGTTTGTTGGCGTTAAAGTGGGCGTGGCAAACTTTATTTTGGGTCAATCGATAGGTATTGATGAGAACAATACATTTCAGTTAAAATTTGTATTCTAGCATCAAAACTGTAGGAGCCACAGTTTTGGGCGGTTTGTGGGCGTTAGAGTGGGCGTGGCACTGTGCCGAAACAAATTTGCGCTGCGTAAGAAGCTCAGGAATCTGCACGCCAAATCTCAATAGCCTAGCTCCCATAGTTTCCGAGATCTCAGCGTTCATCCGTTCATTCAGTGATCCTGATCAAGAATATATATACTTTGTGGGGTCGGAAACGCTTCCTTCTGCCTGTTACATACTTTCCGACGAATCTAGTATACCCTTTTACTCTACGAGTAACGGGTATAAATAGTTACAGATTGTAGTGCTTTTACCCTGGCGTTAAACAAAAAGGAATTATGCCCAGGAATTGCCAGGTGGGCACTTTTTCTTCAAGATTATGACTACACTCTGGAACATAGAGCCGGCAAGCGTATGCAACATGTCGATGCACTTAGCAGGAACACACACATACTGTCAATGGATTCTAATTCATTTGAAGAAAACTTAGTTATATGTCAAAGTAGAGATGAGAAAATCAAAAGTATAGCTGAGAAACTTCAGGAAACAGAATTAAAGGATTATGAGCTGCGGAATGGAATAATTTACAGAAAAAAGGATAAGAATGGTCTTTTATTTTATGTGCCAAGCGAAATGGAAAGCCACGTTCTTTTTAGTTACCACGATCAATTAGGACATGTTGGAGTTATCTCAAAAAGTTACTGGTTCCCCAAAGTTCGTGAAAAATGCAAGCGGCACATTAATAATTGTTTGAAATGCATCGCCTATTCTGATAAGTCTGGTAAAGACGAAGGTTTCCTTCACAGCATCCCCAAAGTATGCATTCCCTTTGATGTCATACACATAGACTATTATGGCCCGGTGGACAAGAGTAGAGCTAACAAACACGTACTGGTGATTATAGACGCATTTACAAAGTTCGTAAGACCTTACCCGGCAAAAACTACAAAGTCTAGGGAAGCAATAGTAGCATTAAAGGACTATTTCAGGTCGTATAGTAGGCCGCGATGCGTGATCTCAGACCGTGGGACATGCTTCACATCTAAAGAATTTCATGACTTCTTAGAGGAAAACGAAGTGAAACACATTAAGATAGCCACTAGATCGCCGCAGGCTAATGGGCAAGTCGAAAGAGTTAATAGAAGCATAGGACCCATGATCGCTAAATTGACTGATCCAGACAAGGGATTGTTCTGGGATACAGTTTTAGAAACAGTTGAATACGCACTTAATAATACGATTCAAAGATCAGTTAGTCAGCACCCAAGTCAAGTCTTATTCGGAGTGTCTCAAAAAGGAAAAGTTATAGATAGCTTAAAAGAGAAATTAGAAGAGTTTAATAAAGATAGAGAAAGTAGGAATTTAGAAGTAGTTAGAGAAAAAGGTACTCAGAGCATCGAGAAGCTGCAAGAATACAATAAGTTACGCACAGACCTTAAGAGAAAGAATCCTAAAGAGTACCAGACGGACGATTTAGTAATGATCAAAAACTTCGATTCTCATGTAGGCGTATCCAAAAAGCTAATTCCAAAATTTAAAGGCCCTTACAGAGTGACAAAGGTACTTCGTAATGATAGGTTTGTCTTGGAGGATGTTGAAGGTTTTCAACAGTCTAGGCTTCCTTATAAGGGAGTTTGGGCAGTAGCAAATATACGACCATGGATTAATAATGCAAATAGTTAAGAGATCAGGAGCTCTCTGGTCAGGATGGCCGAATTGTAGCAAGCAGACACACACACACATACATATCCCTAAGCATCTGTTCTACATTAAGTTAGGTCACACTATTATTAAACACATACATACATCCCTGTTACTCTTAAGAAACACTATGCTTGTCTCACTCCCTCATACTGTGTACCCCCAACTCTTGTAACATAGGCTAAGCCTGTACAAATCTGTGCAATAAAGATCACTTTTTGCGACCGCCTAAGAAGAAACACCTAGAAAGTGCCGTCTACAGAGCTTCATAACAGGAGAGAGTTAAGCGTAACAGCACAAAATGTTAAACCAAAACGAATACTGCACAACATCTATTTTGTCATTCCTTCTTACGCTAAAACTTCGAAAAGTACACGAACTCTAAAAACTAATGCTAGGCCTTTTTTATTTTAAGCTAATGGGAACGGCCGAAATGGGGTCCAAAACAGCATCTGGTCGAAAGAGCAACAATAAGCTAAATATTTATTACCATAAATAAATAAATATCTAAAGGCATTTGATTGTGTGAACCGCAAAACTTGAATCTATTTATTGAACATGTTAATTTTAAGTTAAAAGCACTTATCATATTTATCAAACCACGGTGAATAATCGCTTTCTCACGTTACGCATTGATTCACTAAAATTTGTTTTATGCGTTCTTGTTATAATTGTTATTAAGGAAATTTTCAAAAAACTTGAAATTTATCGGCATCCCACGTAGTGACGAAGCGCGCCAGGATAGTGTGCAGGGGACTACTATACATACACGAAGAAATGAAAATCTACAGTGATCGTCTGATCGTTACGAGTGATACTTCAATCGAAAGGTATTGCAAAAAATTAAAGGATTGCATACAAAGCTTAAGAAAACCAATTGGCTTGGGAGAAAGAGCTGTGAAAGTGTAAAAGTGAAAATAAAGAAAATTTGAGCTGTTGGGGTCGTTGTGGATAAATGCACAAGTTCATAAGTTTAGTTGTACTCTCACTTAAAATACGCGTCGAATGACACCTCATTTGTTTAGATTCGATGCTCCGTTCAAAAACAAGACGGAAAACAAGATTTTGGAAGACTTCTCAAAATGATAATTTTAGACGACCTTCAGTTCTACCACTTATGGAAAAACTCGCTAGTTTAGCGGGAAAATAGCTTTAAATAGCAATCATTTACAACCGTTACTTGTTAACTATTAAAGCTACTGACTTGTGCCTTATGTTTTTAGAAAGGTATTTTAAATACTTTGTACGCCTTTCTAACATGATTTGTCTAAATACGACCGTTAAAAT